GAGAGAGAGAGAGAGAGAGAGAGAGAGAGAGAGAGAGAGAGAGAGAGAGAGAGAGAGAGAGAGAGAGAATAAGTACTAATAGGAGAGAGGCGTGGGGAAGGCTAGTGACTGCCCTTCTTCCATCCCTGTCTTGGTTACTTTATTTCTTTGTTTCTTGTAGGGCTGAAAATAACTTTTTCTCTCGTGTCCGAGTGTCTCTCCTCTTGCCCTTTTGCTTTAACTTCTTATCGGCACCATCCTGCCCATCTTGGATTTATCCATTCCTTTCTGAGGCAGGGGAGGAAATCTGGTCCCAGTTCTGGCTTCTTTTCTCTCCCCCAGCCCCTCCGCGCTCCACTTCCCTTTCCAGGTCTTGCCTGTGTCCAGACCCAGGACGTAGAGTGAAGAGAGGAAGAAAATAAATCCCACATAGCGAGAAAGGAACCACATCACATGTGCTAGGATTAGGTCAAGACTTTATTCTTATTAGGGCCTCATGGCACTTGGGGGTTTCAGAAGCCCTGATTCCTACCCTTTTTTACCTTTATATTTTACCAGGATAAATTGAAAACTGATTGAATTGGTCTCCCAACACCCATTTTCTCTGTCTCTCTGTCTCTCTGTCTCTCTCTCTCTGTCTCTCTCTCTCTCCCTCTCTCCCTCTCTCTCTCTCTCTCTTCAATCCATGCTTCACAAAGCTACCAAACAAATCTTACCAAAGCCCAGCTGGAAACATGCCACACTCCTCTGCTCCCAAACTTCCTTACTCCATATTGCCTTTAGAGTTCATAGAATCATAGATATAGACCTGGGACGGAATTCAAAAGTCATCTGCCTCAACCATCTCATCTTGAAAAGAGGTTAAGTCACTAACCCAAGGCCACACAGGGAGAAGTGACAGAAACAAAATATAAACTCCTCAACCTGGCATTTAAGGCCTTCCGCAGTAAGGCTCCAAACTACCTTTCCAAACCTGTCCTACTAGTCCTCTTGGCATGCTCTATGTACTGGCACTATCAGCCTCCTTGTGCTCACCAAACTCACTCAGTATTTTATCTACATTGATCATGCCTGGAATTCACTCCTTTTCAGAATCTTTAGTGTCCTTGAGGGTGCCATTTCCTATATAAAACCTTTCCTGATCCTACCTAGTTCTTAGTACAATGTCCTGCCTCATGTTATATTAAATATACATATTTGTGTGCTACAGAATTTGAAATTAAGGAACCTGGATTCAGTGCCTGACTCTACCACTTATTCCCTAGATGGTCTTGGATAAATTATTTAGCCTCTCTGAGCACCAGTTTCCTCTTCTATAAAATGAGGAGTCTGGAATAGATAACCTTCAAATTTCTTTCTAACTATAAATATGTGATTGCATTAGAATTTAATTTCCTTGAGGGCAGAGATTGTTTTAATTTCTAATCTTTTTATGCATAGTTCATTGCATATAGTAGGTGGTTAATAAATGTTAGTTGGATTGAATTTAGTTTGCCTGCATTCATGGATTGCTCTTTACTAAAGTAACAATATTATTTCTCTAGTTCAATGGATGACACTTCTTTCAGGTTCAGGAAGTTGGTACAAGCTCTGGAAGTTGGTATTACAAGCTGGGTAATTTCATTCTGGGTGAGAAATTTTCCAACTGTCATTGTCATCTTTTGCTTTCATCAAACATATACAACAAAATGAAGCCATCTGGAGTTCTGTTCTGGATAGTGGAGATTTCTTTGCTTAATTTTATTTCTTCTTTTTTCTGAAGCATTAAAAATGATGTCCTTTGTTTTTGTGTTACATTAATTTGTGAATATATCTCCTCCTCTTTCCCCCTATCCTTTATTCTCTTTGTCACAAAGATAAAAAATTTAGAAAAAAATTATCAACACATAAAAGCATATGCAATATACCATACCCATAATTCCTCACCTCTGCAATGAAGGAAGGGAGATGTATTTTCTCATGTCTTCCCTTGGTCAAAACTTGGTCATTATAATTACACCAGCATTTAGTTTTTTGTTATTGCTCTTTCTTTTTACATTGTTGCAGCCTTTACATATGTTGTTTTCCTGGTTATATTTTCTTTACTCTGCATCAGTTCATGTAAATCTTCCCATATTTTTCTCAATTCTTCATATTCATCATTTCTTACATTGCCGGAATATCCCATTACATTCTTTACCACAGTTTGTCCAGTTATTTCCCAATCTATAGGTGAGATAGGGAGAGAAGCAAAAGTTGTCCTCATCTACCTCCCTGCAGAGGGAGAGAAGCAAGTTGGACTGCATGTTAACCCTTTTCCCATTACCCCTAATACAGGAATGTCCTTCTACTTTGAAGTTATCATCCATCTCTGGTCAGAGGCAGATGGAGTCAGCTTTTGTGCATCTGACTATTTCATCTATCTATCAGTCCCAGCTGTTTCTAACAGGATCATGGATTTGGAGCTGGAAGGGACCTTTTCATCCCTCCTCAAACCTGCCATGGATCCCTTACCCCACCCTCAACTGAGAATCTTGCCTCATATTTTACTGAAAAAACAAATTGAGGCCATTTGCTAAGAGTTCTCTGTTTTTTCCTCTTCATCTCAAATCACGTAGATCATATCTGCCACTATCTCTTCCTTCACTGCCATCTCATATAATGAGGTGACTTTTCTCCTTGGTAAGGCAAATCCCTCTACATGTACAAATTATCCCATTCCATCCCATCTTCCTTAGCAGATTGTTATCTCTATCATCCCCATTCTCTCAAATATTCTCAGTCTCTCCCTGTCTGCTGGCTGCTTCCCTCCTACCTACAAATATATCCATGTCTCCCCATCCTCAAAAAACTCACAATAGTTATCGTCAGATATGTCTCCTCCCTATGGTGAAAACTCTTTGAGAAAGCTGTCTACAATAGGTCTTTCCATTTCTTTTCTTCTCACTCTCTTCTTAACTACAGACAGACTTCTAATCTTATCTATTCTATTGAAACTGCTCTCTCCAATGTTACCAATGATTCCTTAGTTAACAAATCTCATGGCCTTTTCTCAGTCCTCATCCTTGACCTCTCTGCAGCCTCTGACACTGTTCATTACCCTTTTCTCCCTGATAATCTCCAGGTTTTCATGATACTACTGTCTCCTGGTACTCCTCTACCTGTCTGACCTTTCTTCTTTCTACTTTGCTGGATCTTCATCCAGGTCATGTCTACTTGCTGTGGGTGTCCCATGGGGTTCTGTCCTGGGCCATCTTTTTTTTCTTCCTTCATGCTATTTCCTTTGGTAACATCATCAACTCTAATGGATTCAGTTATCGTCTCTCTGCTGATTCTCAAATCTACTTATCCAAGTCCTAGCATCTCTCCCAACATCCAGTCTTTCATCTCCAACTGCTTATTAGACATATTGAACTGAATGTCCTATAGACATCTTAAACTCAACATGTCCAAAACTGTACTCATTATTTCCCCCTCAAAAAAAAATCCTCTTCTCTTTAACTTCACTATTACTGTCAAGGTTATCACCATCCTCCCCAATCATCCAGGCTCAAAACCTAGGTTTCACATTCAACTCTTCATTCTCTCTCACCTCCCATATCCAATCAGTCTTGAAGTGCTATGCTATTACAGTTAAGACCCAAGTTTTTTGGAGGTGGGGGGGATTTCTATGGAGTCTTGATGAAACTATTAGGAAAAATGATAGATACCTTGAGCCAACAATTATCTGGGGAATTGATGTGGGTGATGGCATGACAGTTATGCATCAATTAAACAAGTATTTATGAAGAATCTCCTTTGTGCTGGAGACAACTCTATATCAAAAGCTGGCCTTAAAGCTAGGAAGGCCAGGATTCAAATCCTGCCTCTGAAACATACTGGCAGTGTAGCTCTGGGGAGGCCATCAAACCTTGCAGTTCTGTAGACAAATCTCTAAAATCTAAATCGTGGAGAAAGTGTAGATCTACGCTGGCCCTCTCTCAGTCAAAGATTGAGGAAAATAATCAGAATCTCTCTTCATTGGGTTGTGCTTTCTTTTCATCCCCATTGCTCACAGTCAGAGATAATGAATGAATGGCAGCTGGCCATATAATAACATTTTAAATAGCATAGAAACCGAAAGTAGAAAGCTTCCACACTCTGTCTGCTTTAACTAACTCTCAAGAAGGGACAAAAAATAAGTTTGTCTTAGGCTGGTGATTTTTTCAATTCCCATCATCCCTCTCTTTGCCTCCTACATTCTCCCCATCCCCACCAAGCCCTTGATTGTCTCTGCTCAGGCTTCCTAGCACCTCTGCTCAGATCCCTGCCCCAGAGTGTTCAGGAGTTGTTGGGAGGGGTCTCCTAGCAGCATGGATGCTGAGCAGTCCTCCTCCTTTCCCCACCTGTTTTTACTTAACCACATGGGCTTCTGTGAGGAAGCCCTCACTCTTCCCAAACTAATGGGAATAAAAGGGACCCCAAGTTCTTTAGACTTTTTAATCCTCTAATTCTTGTTGTTATCTGGAGGGGGCACTATATGATATATGTCTATATGTACAGATATATATATATATATAGCTAATGGGGTTGGGTTTGAAAGTGGAAAATGGTAAGAAAGGGGGGAGGGGAGTCAGGAAAACCTTTATTAAGAGATATTACTTGAGCTGAGCCTTGAAAAGAA